TGGAATTAGTAAGATTCTTTAAACACAGATTGACAACAATTCTTCTTTAAGAAAAATAAATATTTTGTATATTTTATCTAATTTGTTTCTGATTCTAGTTTCTCTACTAGTTTTAATTTTCTAGCTGTGAAAATGTTCTTAAACTTTATTGTGTCTTACCAAGTTCTTCAAAGTTTTGTTCTAAGTATCTTGGGAATACAAGACGAACAACAATCTTAAGGAAATTATTATACTGTTGGTATTTCTTGTATTCTACTGATTGAGAGAAACAGATCATGGAAGTAGAAGTTTAAGGCATTACTTCTCCATAATTTGGTGCTTTGTTTAGCAAGGTCGAAGTGAGAATGTACAGAAAAAAATTGGTGTTATTCTGGTTAAAGATTACACCAGGTAACCTTCTTATTATTTATCTAAGGAGGAAAATAGTTTCTAAGAGTTACTTCCTTCGAATATGATTTTGTAACATTTCTTGTGTCTTATGTAGACTCATCCTTTTGGAAAGATGGTGTCAATAGTGAGATTGATGAAATCTTGAGCAACCATATTGGAAGTTAATTGATCTTCTTCCAGGAAATAAACTTTTGGGTTCAAAGTGAATCCTCAAAAGGAAAATGAAAGTCGATGGAACTGTTGACAGATAAAAAACAAGACAAAAACAAGGTCTTGATCTTTTCGACACATACTCGCCAGTAACTAGAATTACATTCATTTGGATGTTAGTTGTATTAGCTGTGGTATATGACCTCCAAATTCATCAAATGAATGTGAAAACAACTCTCTTAAATGGAGAATTGGAGGAAGAAATTTACATGAAACAACCCGAGGGTTTTGTGGTTCTTGGTAAAGAAAAGAAAGTGTGCGAACTTGTTAAGTCACTTTATGGACTAAAACAAGTGCCCAAACAATGACATAAGATATTTGACCAAACTATGTTGGTAAATGGATTTAAGAACGACGGAAGTGAAAAATGTGTTTACATTAAAATCACTAGGTCATTGTTTGTTTGTATAATTGGTGATATGTTGATTATCAATACACTAATGACATAAATGCTACTAAATGTATGCTAGAAAGCAAGTTTGGAATGAAAAATTTTGGAGTTGCTGATGCAATCTTAGGTATAAGAATCCTTAGAACTCCATAATGTTTAGCATATTCGCGGTCTCATTGCATTGAAACAGTACTTGACTAGTTCAAATATTTGGATTTCAATATTGTCAAGTCTCCAGTAAATGTGAGTTTTGCATTTCAAAAGAGTGAAGGCAAAAGTGACTCACAATTGGATTGTGCTAAAGTATTGAGAAATATGATGTATATCACGAAGTGTGCGCGATCAGATATAGCATTTGCTATTAATAAACTGAGTCGGTTCACGAGTGATCCCAATCGAACTCATTATATGACAATGAAAAGAGTTTTGGAGTATTTAAGAAATACTTAAAACTATGTCTTGCATTATAACAATATTTAACAGTATTGAAAAGATATAGTAATGTGAATTGGATCACCGGACAAATGAAGTGAAATCCACGAGTGGATATGTATTTACTCTTGGTAGAGGAGCAATCTCTTGGAAATATTTTTTTTAAAAAGAGACATGTATCGCTAGCTCTACAATGATCTCTGAGCTAGGTGCTCTAGATAAGGTCGGTGAATAAGTTGAAAGACTCCGGAATTTCTCCATAGATATTCTTTTTGGCCGAAACATTTGGCATCAGTATGCATACACTTTGATAGTCAAGATGCAATAGGTAGGGCATGGAGCATGATGTATAACGGAATGTCTCGTCATATAAAACATAGACATGATACCGTTAGAAAACTACTCTCTAGTGGAATTATCACAATTGACTATGTAAAGTCAAAGGATAATGTTTCGGATCCATTTACAAAAAGGCCTAACTAGAGAGAAAGTTTAAAGATCATCTAAGGGAATGAGTTTACGGCTTAGGACAAGTCATCATGGCGGTAACTCTATCTAGCAGACTGGAGATCCCAAGAGCTAGATTCAAGGAGAAAAACAAAGTTGTGACTGACGGTTCAGCATTGTCAACAAACTCAATCCATTCTCATGATGAAGACAATGCTCAGGAATAAGGATACAACATTAAGGCTTGTTAATGAGTTACTAAAGCTTAATGTTTTTAATGATTTGCTAAGTTTGGCAGATTTGACCAAATAGTGTATCTACGCGATAACACGGTTAGAAATCACCTATGTGGGTGTGAAGTGTAAGCCGATTCAAAGAGAATTATTATCAAAAGCCTATTCTCTATACACTCATGAAACCAGGAGGTGTTCATGGCTGAAACGAACACAACCGTAAGAACCATAAACGGTAAAGGGTTAATTGTGTGACATATGGTTGTCTAGGTATACACCACTAATTGACCGAGTATATCCGACATATGTTCACTACGGAAAGTCCAAGGGGAAACCTACTTATCCAGATGCAATTAATTCTTGTTTGTAAAGTACACATACTTGTCTGTTTCTTTGTCTTGGAGTCATTCCCCATTCATGCGGGGGATTTTTGAGTTTTAAAAGGTGTGAATGGAAAATGAAGAGTTGCGACTTTTATGAAGAGTAGTGACTTTGATGAAAAGTTGCGACTTTTATAAAGAGTAGTGACTTTGATGAAAAGTTGCGACTTTTATGAAGAGTTGTGACTTTTATGAAAAGTTGCGACTTTTATGAAAAATGGTGACCTTTCCAAAAGATTGTGACTTTTCCAAAGGTTTGTGACCTTTCCGGTAAGGCACAATAAGAACCTTTTCACACTACCCTTTGTTTTCTATAAATTGAGGGATTTCTTCTCATTTTAAAATAGAATTTTTTCTGGACTTCTTCTACTACTAAATCTAGTATTTTAAGTGTACTTTACTGCCGTTGAGTGGCTCGCTGACACCAGCGTTTTATGTATCAATACACTGGTGATTGAGATCATTCTATCCTGGGAGGACATATTCCAAATCAAACCTCGGATACTAGAGGGGAATAATTTCCTTAAGGGGACACTGTGCATTCAGTGGGTTTGATCTTCTTTCTATTTTTCCAGATTCTGGTATGTGTTACAGATTTTAGATTTGTGAATTAATTTATGTTCTTCTGTTCTTCACTGGTTCATTAAACTTTGGTAACTTCGTGTTTCTGCAAAGTTTGTTGGAATTAGTAAGATTCTTTAAACACAGATTGACAACAATTCTTCTTTAAGAAAAATAAATATTTCGTATATTTTATCTAATTTGTTTCTGATTCTAGTTTCTCTACTAGTTTTAATTTTCTAGTTGTGAAAATGTTCTTAAACTTTATTGTGTCTTACCAAGTTCTTCAAAGTTTTGTTCTAAGTATCTTGGGAATACAAGACGAACAACAAATATATGTAGAACTAGTTTTAATGCGCGCAAAGACATACCTAGACATTGCGGTTACTAAATTGTTTTTCTATGTTAGTTTTAGAGTTAATATCTCAGAACTTTCAATAGTTCACTCAAAAAGTCACTTAACTTTGAGTTGTTCACTTCGAAAGTCACTCAACTTTGTTTTATAACTCAAAAGTCACTTAAAAAGTCATGTAATTATTGATATTTTACTTAAAAAGTCACCCAACTAATTTAAATTAATTTTTTCATTGAATTTTGTAAAATACAAAAAAAAAAATTAACTATTTTTTAAAAATTAATAAGATGCTTATTTTAATTATTTTATTGAATTTGTTGAAGTATAATTTTTCTTTTTACCTATAATTTTTTTATTAAAAAAAAGTGGTACTGTGCTGCGTATTTTTTATTAAGCTTCTCATCAATTCCAACTTCTTTCTTCTTCTTCTTTTTTGGATCATTTTTTTAACATATTTGATTCGAGTTATATAATTGCTAAAACAGAAAAGGTTTTCCTGCGGTCAATTGCTATGGTACGATTTCAAAAAAATTAATAATTAAATAATTTGGATTAACAAAATAATTAAAATAAATATATTATTATTTCTTTAAAAAAAATAGTTTAACAGAAAATTAAATTTCAATAAAAAAGAAAAAAATATTTAAATTGATTGAGTGACTTTCTAAGTGAAATATCAATAGTTATGTGACTTTCTAAGTGATATATCAACAGTTGAGTGACTTTTGAATTATAAAACAAAGTTGAGTGATTTCTAAGTGAACAACTCAAAGCTGAATGACTTTCTAAATGAACAATTCAAAGTTGAGTGACCATATGAGATATTAACTCGTTAGTTTTATTGCGCAATAAAATACACCTGAACATCGCAGTTGTCAAATTGTTTCCGTGTTAATTTTAGTGTGTGAAAATAGACTTGAACATTGTGGTTACCAAATTATTTCCTATCTTACTTTAATACACGCGAAATAAACCTGAATATCGCGGTTACCAAATTATTTTCGTGTGTTAGTTTTAATGCGCACTAAAACAAACCTGAACATCGTGGTTACCATATTGTTTTCAGATGTTAGTTTAATGCGGGCGAAAATAAACTTGGATATCGCGGTTACCAAATTGTTTTTCTGTGTTAATTTTAATGCACGTGAAAACACATCTGGAAATTACGGTTACCAAATTATTTTTCGTAATAATTTTAATACACGCGAAAATAGATCTGGACATCGCAGTTCCAAATTGTTTTCTCGTGTGAGTTTTAATTCCCGCAAAACACACCTGAACATTGCAGTTGCCAAATTATTTTCCCATGAAATCAAACCTGGACATCGCGATAACCAAATTACTTTTCCTTGTTAGTTTTAATGCATGCAAAAACAGATTTGAATTTCACGAGTACCATAATATTTTCTTGTGTTAGTTTTAATGCGTGCGAAATTAGATCTAATTACCAAATTATTTTCCTACATTAATTTTAATGCGCGCAAAAACAGACGTGAACGTCACAATTACTAAATTGTTTTATGTGTTAAAAGCGTGATGCATATATAGGATAGGAGTCCTGCACAACTCAAGTGAAATATTGTTCCCCACAGAATAGAAAGAATTACCCTAATCGGTAATCAGAAGGAGAAAACAGTATCGCGACTTTTCCCTTGTACAAGAACCCTATCTGCATCAGCCGGACGGTATGAGTCGGTCAGTGGACGAGCTCGGAACTACCAAACCGGATCCGACGAAGAAGCCCGTCTTCCTCACCAAAGCACAGCGAGAGCAGCTAGCCTTACAGCGCCGCCACGATGAAATCGCCGAACAGAAACGGCGGGCCGAACAGCTTCTCCAACAACAGGGTAACAACCGCCCTTCCTCCACCGATAACGACCATGAACGGGATCATCGTGACAGAGATAGTAGGGGTGACCACCATCGCTCCAGGGACAGGGACAGGGACAGGGACAGAGACAGAGAAAGAGAAAGGGAGTCGAGGGACCGGGAGGTGGAGCGCCGGAAGCGCGATAGGGAGCGCGACGAAGAGGTCAAGGAACGAGAGCGAGCTCGATTGGACAAATTAGCTGAGCGAGAGCGAGAGAAAGAGCTTGATGCAATCAAAGAGCAGTACCTCGGCTCCAAAAAACCTAAGAAGCGGGTGATTAAACCTAGTGAGAAATTCCGATTTTCCTTTGATTGGGAGAACACCGAGGACACATCTCGCGACATGAACGCTCTATACCAAAACCCTCACGAAGCCCGCTTACTCTTTGGTCGCGGATTCCGTGCTGGAATGGACAGAAGGGAGCAGAAGAAGCTTGCTGCCAAGAACGAGAGGGAGCTGCTGGAGGAGATCTGGAAGAAGGATGGCGTTGAGGAGTCTGCAGTAGAAGCAGCTGCCCTGAAGAAGAAGGAACAGGATGCCGACATGTATGACACTTTTGACATGAGGGTCGATCGCCATTGGTCAGACAAGAAGCTGGAGGAAATGACGGAGAGAGATTGGAGGATATTCAGGGAGGATCACAATATATCCTACAAGGGGTCGAGGATACCCCGTCCCATGAGGAATTGGGTCGAGAGCAAGTTAACTACTGAGTTGCTCAAGGCTGTTGATAGGGCTGGCTACAAAAAGCCGTCTCCCATACAAATGGCTGCCATTCCGCTTGGACTTCAACAGCGTGATGTGATTGGTGTCGCAGAGACTGGTTCAGGTAAAACTGCTGCTTTTGTTCTTCCTATGTTGACTTATATCACTAGGCTTCCTCCATTGAGTGAGGAGAATGAGGCGGAGGGGCCATATGCTGTTGTTATGGCCCCCACACGAGAACTTGCTCAACAAATTGAGGATGAGACTGTCAAGTTCGCACACTATTTGGGTATCAAAGTTGTTTCTATTGTTGGTGGGCAGTCCATAGAGGAGCAAGGTTTTAGGATTAGGCAAGGTTGTGAAGTTGTGATTGCAACCCCTGGGCGGCTTCTTGATTGCTTGGAGAGACGTTATTGTGTTCTGAACCAGTGTAATTATGTTGTTCTTGATGAAGCTGACCGTATGATTGACATGGGTTTTGAGCCTCAAGTGGTTGGTGTACTGGATGCTATGCCTTCAAGTAATATGAAACCGGAGAATGAGGATGAAGAGCTTGATGAGAAGAGGATTTATCGAACCACTTATATGTTCAGTGCTACCATGCCACCTGCTGTGGAGCGGCTGGCTAGAAAATACTTGAGAAATCCTGTTGTTGTGACTATTGGCACTGCTGGAAAGACTACTGACCTCATCACTCAGCACGTGTTCATGGTAAAGGAATCAGAGAAAATGTATAAGCTGCAGAAATTGCTGGATGAGCTTGGAGATAAGACAGCTATTGTGTTCATCAACACTAAGAAGCAGGCTGATTTTGTTGCCAAGAATCTGGATAAAAATGGCTACAGGGTAACCACACTGCATGGTGGAAAGTCTCAGGAGCAAAGAGAAATCAGCCTTGAAGGATTTAGGACCAAGAGGTACAATGTGTTAGTTGCTACTGATGTTGCTGGTCGTGGTATTGATATACCTGATGTGGCCCATGTGATAAACTATGATATGCCAAACAATATTGAAGCATACACCCATCGTATTGGACGTACAGGTCGTGCAGGAAAGACGGGTGTAGCCACAACATTCTTGACCATGCATGATACTGAAGTCTTTTATGATCTTAAGCAAATGCTCACACAAAGCAACAGTCCTGTTCCCCCAGAACTTGCCCGACACGAGGCTTCGAAGTTCAAGCCAGGAAGTATTCCCGACAGACCACCTAGGAGGAATGATACTGTATTTGTTCATTAAAGTTGGAATTGCTACATATGCTATTGTAGGGGTCCAGTGTTGGGAGTTTCTATAATGGTATCTGCTGAAAAATGGAGCTAGGTGGGTGAATGATGGAGTTGGTAGATAGAGTGGAGGTTCAAACATAATGGAAGTGAAGTGGTAACATGTTTGGCAATTGAGTTTTTTTCTGTTACTAACAAGTAGTAATGTGCTGTCAGCTTTGCTGAAGGGATTTGTTTTTTAATTCTGATTCCGTTAGTCGATGCCTAGGCTTTACTGAAGATCTTCCTGTAAACTCTTAAACATTTCTTGTGTTTCCTTCTTTACTACTTTATCTTAAGATAGTCTCAGGAACTTAAATACCTTGGTGAAGTATGAAGTTTATTGCCATTAGTTAGCAAGTTCCTTGGACAACAGGTACATGTGCGTATGGAATTTTTCGGTAAACCAGTCCATATTCTAGTAGAAAAACCTACTTCCTTTATGATTGTTTTACGTTATTATGTTATGTTCTGCGGTTCTCATTTGCTTCAACTCTATCTAGCCTCGCACAGCTGCACTTAACATTCTTCATTTGTGTAATCCACAGTTTTTACCCAAATGCACTCTCAGTAATCTGTCAATCAAGTCATGCACCACCATTTCAACCTCCTTTCTTAAAATTTTTGGGGGTAGACACCCAAGTTTGTAAGCTGGTGTTATTTCTGTTTAAGAATTTGATTGCCATATTGTTTTTCCAATTTACAATTTGAGAAAAATTGATTGAAATCTGAAACATCTTCTATAATTAGTCTGTGTTTCATTATTGGTTGAAGTTGTGATTTACACTTTTTGAATAAGAGGGATTTACTTGCTGAGAATATCCATACTTGTGCAAGTAAACACTGGACTTCCAATATTCAAAAGATAGATTTGAGCAATCAAACTGGAATTTGGAAGCAAGCAAAGACACAGCCACTGCTGGTTTTCATTTATTCTGTCTTGAAATTGAATTACAAATCACACTCTTAAAAAAATTACACTTTCTCTTTATTTGCGTGTTTCTGTTGACAATGAGGGAACAAGTATCATGACTGGCTGTTCGATGATCCAAACAACCTGCAGGATGCCACTTCAAATCGTTAGTAACCTCCTCAAAAGGGGAGGGAGGATAAAAGAAATAGACACATCCGTGATTCATGCAGTAGCAATTGTATCAAATCTTACTTCTGCAACCTTGATTGTGAGCGCCTGGTACCATATCAAAAATGGATATACATCAGTACAGTTGTAGGGAAAGAAGTACAGGAAAAAACAATGAAGGAAGACAACCCTAAACCATGTAGGAGTATTAACAGTCAAGCATATAGGAAAGAAACAACCAAATTTGTTGATTGTCTACTTGATTGACATAACTGGTGGTTTAAAAAGGTGAATAGAAGAAGTAAGCTATTTGCTGTATGGTTCTAATTTAGTACTCGTCTCTTGAAAAACATTTTAGTGCATACCTTTGTGATAACTGTGGCTTAACTTTCACCCTCTCGGGCCTCTCCTTTGGTCCTTCTGGTTTTTCGTCAATTCTGATAGGCACATCTTTTATCTGCAGTAAGTGTAATTTAGGAAACAAAATAAGAAAAGTATATCTCATAAGGATGTTTGGAATATAATGAAATGCAGGCATGCAGCAATATACCAAGTTTCTAAACTCGAGATTGTAGAAAGTGTCTATGTATCTTTGCTTTGCCTGTTTCTGATCTTTGTACAATGTCTTCCAAAAAGTGTAGATTGACCCCATATTCAATACCTTGTTTGCATAGATCTTCCATGTGTAACTGCAAAATATCAGGATTAAGAAAATGTCAACAAGACATATGCCTCTCTGCAATTTGAACAATTGTTTATTTGTGAGTTACCATTCATCTATACGCTTTAGACCCTGGGCTGAAATCCTGTTCCAATGCTCAGGATCCTCCCTGCACTTCTGGAAAAAATTAGCAATTTTGTTGCTTGATTCATCTCCATTATTTGGATCAATATGGAAGCCTGAGATCCCATCAACAATAATCTCAGCAGGGCCACCTTGGTTGGTAGCGAAGGTTGGTAATCCACAGTTCATTGCTTCAATGACTGTAAGACCAAATGCTTCATACAAAGCAGGCTGCACAAAAGCTCCTTTTGAATCTGCTATTGTGCGGTAGAGTTCGCTATTCCTGTATCTGTCAGTCTGAGCTGCTATCCATCTAATCTGACCTTTAAGCTGGTATTTCTCTATCAGCACATGCATCTTTTTTATTTCAGCTGCTTCTTCTCTATCATTGGATTTTGTAGGATCAAAGGAACCGCCAACCACAACAAGGTTAACTAAGCTTCTGAGCTTCTTGTTCTTGCCAAACCATTCAGTTAGTCCAGTTGTGTTCTTCACTGTGTCCAGCCTTGCCATGGTGAAGAGGATAGGTTTCGTTCTGTCTTCTAAATATCCACTGTGGTTGAAAGAAGTAAAACATTAATACGTAGAATTGTGGGATGTTCCTATTGGCATTAAACTGAAGTTTGAGAACTAAGACTTACATGTGCTCGTCATTATCCACTTTACTAAAAAGAAGCTTCTCAATGGCAGGTCGGAAATCAGTCAAACGCTTCTGCTTTTCTGTGTAAGGGAAATATACTGACTGGTCTGCCCCAGGAGCAGCAATGTTAAATTTAGGATCAAAGACATTGATGCCTGAAACAACTCTATAAAGCCCTGGAAGGGTAAATGCACTGTGACTTTCATACTGCCCTGGCCTGTCTTTGCTGCAAATGTAAGCACATAAGAATGAGATCCATGAAGTTTCAATAATTAGAGTAAATACATAACTGGATTTGTGATGTGTATTTGATGGTAGTAAAAGAACAATTCTAATTTTATATTACTCGTCTGCTCTAGTTCTTACCTTCCAGCTATTTCTTGATATGTGCTTGTGATAACAAAATCTGCAGAATTCATTGCAATCAAATCAGCTGTAAATTGGCACGAAAAGTGGTACTTTGGATCGAGTTCCTTTAATTTGATGTCAGAATCTTCATATTTAGTCTTCTCCAGAGCATGAGCAATTGTTCCCTAGTACAGAGATGGTCTAGGTTAGTGGACATTAAGACACTAACTTGGGGAAGAAACAATATCGACAAAGATTAGGGAAAGTTACCAGAGTTATCCCAAGTTTTCTAGCCATTAATGATGCCACTAAATTCCCATCAGTGTAGTTACCAATGATTAGATCAGGCTTGCCTTCCATTAGCTCGATGATTTTGTCAGAAGCATCCTTTAGTCAAGGCAAAAAGAAAATGTAATTTAGGAAGAAAGAAAAACTCTGGTTGAGCAAGGTTTATATAAAGATACACACCTGAGTATATCTCTCCAGATAAGGGTAGATATCGAATCGAGAAACCCATTGATTAAGCACTCCTTTTTCTGTCCTAAATGGAACTCTGAGTATGTGAGAATGCTTTGTATTCTTGATTGGTTCTAGTTCCTGGTTGCACTTTGTTCCTTTTGCATCTGGGATTAGCCGGGTTAACTGTGCAATCAAGATATGATATTAGCTTTTCTAAACAACCTCTATGTTATTGCATACTCATGTCGATTGTCTAGGAACTCACCACAAGAATCTGAGGCTTAACATTGAGCCCCTGCTGTTTAATTCTTTGTAACATTTCTTCTTCAAAAGCTACAACTTGATCCAAAACATAAACCACCTGTTGATCAAAAGCAACGGATTTAACTTATATAATATGATAAGTGTAAATAATAGTGTATTTTAACCTATTGTAGCAGGTAACCTTCTTGATTTTTGCAGGTATTTTATTCCGTTTCTAATGGAGGTTACTTGTGATTATCTTTTAGGTGACCTGATAGTTTAAAAATTCTTTTATAGTGAAGTATGTAAAAGTTAGATGCTTACCTGACCACCGGTGTCTGGCAAGCCAAGAACATCAGCCTGGCCGAAGTATCCATGAACAGAGAACAATACAATATTGAAAACAGTTGGAACCCTTCCAAAGAATTTCTCAAAGTTTGATGGATCCGGTGCCTGAAGCACCTCAGAAAGTGTTCTCATGGTATCTCGGACTCTTTCAGCTGTATCACCCCAGCCTTTCTCAAAACCCCACTCTTTGAATCTGTACAAGAATTGAAGCCACTTAGTACTTTGTAGCATGCCAAAAGGGGGAGGAAGTAGAGGAAAAACTAATTAACCTTAGCTCAAAGCTCTGATATGGTGTATCAGTTGGTATGGAAGAAATAGATGATTCTGCTACAACCAATGCTGCCTGAAGCTTTGAGACAGTGCTGAGCGTCTCATTGATCATCAGTTTCTGCAGTTGAACATAAAGGAAAGTTGTTATTATCTTTTCCTCTTAGGACAAGTGTTCATTTATGAAGTTTAGTTTTGCTTGACATACATCTCCTTGATGGTTCAACGTGAGCAGGTAGTCAACTAGACACTGTGCACTCGTGGAGCTAGCATTTAGCTTTGAAGTTAGAAACTTGGAAACATAACTGAGACCATTTCCGATTGAAGAAGATAGAGTCAGACGAGGCGTTGAGAAGTCTACTGCTCCAAAATCAATTTCCAGTGCATATTCATCTTTTGCCCTGCATTTCATGTTCACACAAAGGTAATCCTTATAAGTTTTCACTTTTCTGATTGAAGGTATAAAACCATAGAAGGTATGATTAAAGCTGCAATGTATTCTATACCAGCTTTCATCAACTATCATTTCCTTGAATTTCAAGTACTCTGTAGCTGTAATACCCTCAACAGAAAGATCATTAGCATTCACTTTCACATATTCCCAGAACCCGGGATTCTGTCTCGTGGCGAAGGCAATGTAGGGAGGAACAACTGCAGCCTCCTGCAAAATTTGATCACAGAAGATTTTAAGAACAAATGTACATCATGCAAAATCTGGAAACAATAATAGAAGAAAACTATTATAAGTGCAGCACATGGTTCTTTCTATACCATTGTAGTACATAATATGTAGCCAAGTAAGCCTTCCAAAACATGGTTCCTTTCTGCTGGATCATCAATCACTTTCTCTAATTCATCCATCAAGCTATGCAGTTTCATCATCCTCTTGCCTTGCTCTATGTATTTGGCAAAACATCTCTTCATGTGATACCGGCTTTGCCTCAACGCTTCTGGCATGCTATCAGCTATGGACTCTGATCTCTTCAAGGCTGGTGTAGTAGCCATTTTCGGTGAGTTTAAAGCTTAAGGTATTGATATTTACACAAAGAATTGTGTTTTTATTGATTTTGTGATTTTTGTTGAGAATTTTTGGGAATTTATAGGTAATTAGCAAGAGACAAAGATGAACAGTTACAAGGAAAAGAGGAAAG